ATGATCCAACCACGTTGAGAATTCGTTGCAATAGTGAAGTCTTTAACTAAGTATTATCAACAGTAGAAAGATGAGAGCTGAAAAGATATAAATCAGGTGCAAATAAATGTTTAGTAAATAATAATTAATTCAATCCCGCATTCAAATTCTTTTTTAAGAAGGTTTAACCGGAGGAAAATCCAAAGAAATTACAAGAATAGCAACACAAATTACCCAATCACAAAACATGGCCAATCACTTGAAGAGGAAGAACTAGTAAACTATGATTAATGGGCATTTCTTGTGAATTTCTGCCTATTGGAGACGAAGGTGAAAACCCATAGAGATCTTAATGATATGGCGTAGGTTATTTCAAGCTTTTAACCAAAGGTCTGCACTATCGATCTCAAGTCCCAACCTTGAAAAATGCAGCTAACTCAATCCTGCACTACCGATCTCAAGACCCAACTATATGACTATTTCTATCTGTTATTTTTAATATTTCCTATAAAAATATTATGTACGCAGTATATTCCAAAGAGAAACAAAAAATCTATATCGAAATACTTTTAAATTAGAAACGAATATATGTCGACGAAATAATCTCAAAGAGAAAAAAAGGACCTGATTTCCCATCGTGATTACAACATATGGATCACTGCTACGCGTATCCCTGACGGCAAGATTGATGCCTCTGCAAACATGGATTTTCAGAAGACCCAAAAACTCCATTTTTCATTAAAATCAGAATTAAAATCTAGGGATGCTATCTTTAAATAATGGCTCCTGTGCTTGTTTAGATGATCGAGAGAAAATACCTACGGAAATTGTTAAAAAAATCTTTTAGAGTAAACATAACATTTATCTTCAAAATAAAAATTATATATTTTTATCTTCAAAATAAGGGTTTGTACCATAATATTATGACACTGTAAAGTTATATCCCACTGTATTTTTTTGTGTTATATATTGGCATTAGTGGCATTGTAATCTTACTTTTAAAATAAAAACACGATGCTCATATTTTTGTACTTTCTCAATTTTTACTCATAGTTTAGTTTTTCTCTCTTTTTGGGTCTATCTTTTGTCAACTTTGGTTTATATATTTTCATTGGTTATTTGATGAAATTAATCATCTTTATTACCTCTTGTTTTGTACTAGTAGAATTTTTGACATAATTTTAAATATGTAAATTTTATTAAACGTTTTTTAACAAATTGTTAAATAAGTTGATTTAAAAAATGCGGGGTTTTACTTCTTAAATGAGAAATTGAAATCTGATTTAAGACGCATGGAGAAGAAAATAATTGACGTAGTTCTAACAATTGAAGCCACAGCCTGACCCACATGCGTAACTGTGGGTTTTTATCCGACCGAGTCCACATGAGCAATAAGTTCTAAATAACTAAAAAGTTATTTTTTTAAATAAAATAATGCGTTAATATATTAGATCTTGATATACTTGTTGAATATGTGAGCCCTAAAGGCCAATCTATATTTATGTTTCTGAATATTTATCAAGAATAAAAGACCCTAAAGATTGGTTATGCATCTCGTGTATCTAAACATAGCTTTAGTCCATAGACTTAGCGCTCTTATAGCATAGATTAGAAATACGATGTTCTGATTATGAGATTGTTACATTTACATAGGCTATGTCTAAAATATAATGATAATACAAACGTCATAATATATTACAACTAATACGTATGAGACAAGATAGTTGCGTCTCATAGGCTATGGATATTGGGATATCTTAATCTATACGTAAGTACATATCTGGAAATATGGTACTGGATTGACTCACCATGAGAATACTACATTGGTAATATTTTAATGTGTTAGTAGTATTCTCATTCGATCGTTGGTATAACTATCCTCAGATTTGAAGTCATTGTTAGTCTGTTTAAGTCGTTGTGCCCACGCCTTAGGGTGGGGACGGTGAATAAGGCGTTTAAAATATTTTCGGAGTTTGATAAAAAAAGTGTTGGTAAATGCGGAAGCAATATATAAAACGCAGAAATAAAAGCGTAAAGTAAAAGACACCGATTTTATACTGGTTCGGGATTCCCTACTCCAGTACCTCGAGGCTTCTCCTCAAGCTAAGGATTTCCAAATCCACTAAGTCCCGGTCTCTTGAACTCTGTCAAAGCACTGCACTAGTTTGGCAAACAACCCTTGCCAATAGGATTCACTCTGAGATTTCACAACGGCTATCTTGAACCCTTTACAACGAAGATTTAACGGCTATCTTCTACTGTTTCCCCAAGGATTTCAAAGGCTATCTTTGAACCTTTACCCAAGGATTTATATGGCTATCCTTAACTGTTACAACGTGAGAATTTAACGGCTATTATTGACCGTAAGAAAATTTGTTTGAAGAACACAAACAAAGGTTCTACCCAACGGCTAGAATACAAAAATGAAGAACAAAACTTATCCGGTGTAAAAGGAAATTATACTCTCTCAAAAATACAATACAGACTTATGAATATGTGCGTATATAACTAGAAACACAAGCTCAAAGTGTGTGTATAAAAATCAGGAATTTAAGGCTCTTGAAATAGCCAAAATATTGAAAATAATGAATAAAAGAATGAACACACTTAGAATATAAATGGGGGTGGGGTTCCAGTGCCACTGGAATCCGGTGCCACTAGCGGTGCCACTGGCATTTTGGGGAATCTCCGGTGCTCCGTTCGCAAAATTGACGGTTCCNTCACGGTACCTAGGTACCAACTGACCATTTGGACAATTTTTTCATTTTTGTCCAAATCGTTTCCAAACTTGTTTAAAATCTTTTGGATATTTGAAAATGATTATAAAAGGGTTTTAAACATATTTTGTGAGTGTTTTTGAGCTTGTGAATATAGGTATATAAAATCATATCCTTACATCGGGTTCTACCTATATTCTACGCTAGTTTAGTGTTTCGACTTCATTCTTGAGAACCGAAGCTTAATGGATTCTTGTTGTACCTGAAACACTTAAACAAATATTAAGCTCTTATATTGTTTGTTAACATCAAAACGCGAGGCTTAGCAAACCAAGGCTAACAATCTCCCCCTTTTGATGTTGACAAACAATATATTTTAAAGTGAGTTAGGAGGGAGTAAAATAATGAAGCAAGCAAGCTCCCCCTTAGAATAAACATATTGAAAATACTCACTTCGTACTTTTTCTTCTGTTTATTAAAAGTTTAAGTTTGATGCAAATAATCACCCAAGAATGCTCTCAAGTCAAGTTGCATATGCACCACTTTGAAGTTTACATCTTTTCTCCCCCTTTTGTCAAAATCAAAAAAGGGCATATTGAAAATATAAAAATGTATGACTTCTTGAAAACCCTACCCCTATCAAAATGAATTTTCTAGGAATAATGATAGTTTGGAGATCATTGGGTAAAGGTACATTTACAACAAAACTCCCCCTAAAAACGAAAATTCCCCCTAAAATGTTGCAAGTTTAAAAACATTAATTTTTTTAGGGATTTTTGGGAATTATTTTCTAAAAGGCATGATTTAAAGATGCAATTTAAAAAAAAATACTTAATCATGCAAACCAAGGCTAAAACAAATTAAAGCACATATGGGATAAGGTTTTATTTTTGTAAAACAATTAAAAACAAACAAAATATCTTACCCCAATAAGTACAAGGAACTTACCTTGGCTTATGCCGCTATTTCTTCAGCTTGGAAGGTTTATAATATTCTTTTTCTTTTGATATTCTCCTTCTTGAGTCTTTATAAAATTTCCATTGGAGAAAACTCTTGTATTTCTTCCTCATTTCTCTTTCTTTGTCTTCTTCATCACTTGACGAATTAGAGTCATCAGATGTTTCATCCGTTTCACTTGACTCATCACTTGAGTCACTTGAGTCTTCACTAGACTCCTCCTTGGATGCCTTGAACGCATTGGTTCATTTCGGGTCTTCTCTTAAATATTCTTCTTTCATCTTAATCAACAAAAGCTTGTGAGAATACAAAGAAGACCAAATGTGGGGTGCTTTCCGTTGCACATTTGGGAAAAATATCTACAATGCTATTATGCCATTCTTTTGTCAAAGAAAGTAAAATTTTAGTACTCCCTCCGTCCCAAATTATTTGCCACATTTGCTTTTTCAACAGTCGCGGGAACTTTTGTTTATTTCTACGTTTTCATTGGTTGTTTAATAATATAAAATATTCTTGACACCTCTTATTTCGAAGAACTTTTCATTTAGTGTTTTGATATGTAATTTTTATTTTTTATTTCTTTACCAATATGTAAATAAAATAAATTGAAAAAACTTGATATTTTGTCTCGGTAATAGAAATGTGACAAATAATTTGGGACGGAGGGAGTATTTAATTCACTTGTAGAATATTCCTTACCCAACTTGTTGATTATTTTATTGAACCTTCTATTGGCATCTTGGATTGACTCGTGTTGGCCAGCTTTGGAACTTTCATACTCCGAGTTTCCGAGGGCCAACATGGTTTTGTTTGTTGAGGTGTCACCTTCATGCGTGGCTTGAAGCAAATCCCATACCTCCTTGGCCGTTTTGCATGAGCATACTCGTGCAAATTCATCGGGGCTGAGAGAGCAATGGAGGATGTTGATTGCCTTTGCATTCATGGATAACTTTCTCTTATATCCTCCGAAGATAATCCTGCAAGATTACCATTACTCGACACAAATGGCCCGTGAAGTACATTTAACCACAAATCAAAATCAATGGATTGTATAAAGTATTCCATCCGCATTTTCCAATAAGATTAATTTTGGCCATTGAAAAACGGAGGACGGTGAAGGCTTTGGCAATCCATTGTAGCCATTTTTCAAAAAAATTGAATTTCAAAAATCGGGGATAATAAACTTTTGAGATTTTAAAAAATTATATTTAAAAAGGGCACAACGGGTAGATCTTTGTCGTAGACGCGGTTAAGCACTTTCAACTACGAAACCGCTCTGATACCACTTATTAGTTAGTTTTAGTTGTTGTGCCCACGCCTTAGAGGGAGAGGGGGTGAATAAACGTTTAAAATATTTTCGGATTTTGATAAAAATGGTGTTGTTAAATGTGGAAACAATATATAAAACGCAGAAATAAAAGCGTAAAGTAAAAGACACCAATTTTATACTGGATTGGAAACTCCCTACTCAAGTACCTCGAGGCTCCTCCTCAAGGATTTCCAAATCCACTAAGTCCCGGTCTCTTGAACTCTGTCAAAGCACCGCACTAGTTTGGCAAACAACCCTTGCCAATAGGATTCACTCCGAGATTTCACAACGGCTATCTTGAACCGTTTACAGCGAAGATTTAACGGCTATCTTCTACTGTTCCCCAAGGATTTCAAAGGTTATCCTTGAACCACTACCCAAGGATTTATATGGCTATCCTTAACTGTTACAACGTGAGAATTTAACGACAATTCTTGACCGTAAGAAAGTGTGTTTGAAGAACACAAACAAAGGTTGTACACAACGGCTAGATTATCAAAATGAAGAACAAAACTTAGCCGGTGTAGAAGAAAATTATACTCTCTCGAAAATACAATACAGACTTATGAATATGAGCGTATATAACTCGAAACACATGCTCAAAATGTGTGTATAAAAATTAGGAATTTAAGGCTCTTGAAATAGCCAAAATATTGAAAATAATACTCCCTCCGTCCCCCTAAGATGTTCTCATTTTGACTTTTGGTGGTTTTTAAGGAGAGTTGAAAAAAGGTGAAAGTTTACCATAATACCCTTAATGAAAAATGGGTGGAGTGTATTAAATGAGGTGGGTGAGGTGTAATAAATAAAGTAAGTGGGGGTAGTTGTGGTATTT